CTAAGGCAGGTTGTAATATATATATAGTTAAAATCATTGTAAATACTACTAACCCTGATTTAACTATAATAAAATTCGCTGATCAAAGAGGTCACCTTAAAGAGAAAAAAAAAAAAAAAGAAGTAGAAATTAGGGTAAAATTTTTTTTGTGTATATCTGTAAACTTTGTATACTTATATACCAGATACCTTAGCATATTAATGAAAGATCAACACTTGACTTATATTTTTAGAGATCTTATCTAAGTCAGGCTAACTCATACAGGTTAGTAAATTTGATGAGTTATTGGGTTCTAGAGCTAACTCAAATCAGATAGATTATTAAATATCAAATAAAATAGTGTTAAAAAAACAAACTTTGGTTAGAGCCTGAATGTATTTTTATAAATATAAATATATACTATTTATAATCTAAGTATAATTTACAATCTAGACTTATATGTAAAACTTTTTAAAACTCTTAGCATTACATTTTTTTTAGTTTAATTTATCATAAATCAGACTTATCTACTGCCTTTAATAAAAAATAAATAAAAAATAAATAAAATAAATAATTTAAAAAAGTAAAAATAAAAATCATATAACAATATATTAAATTGTCCTTTTATTAATTAACTATACAATGCTTACTCTTTTACTGCATTCACTATTTGCTACATTACTATGTTAATTCTTAAGATATCAACTTTTAGATATTTCCTTGCAACACTTATAATTATAAATTTCTTATATTATTATCCTAAATAAGTGCTGCAGAATGAGAGCCTGGAAGTGGAAATTCAAGTTTCTACCATAGCAAATTTAGTGCATATTATTGGTGTTTTAAAGTTCACATAAAAGTAATAGACAGACAAGATAAAGCTTATATAATCTATCTGGCTTGGGTTACAACCCAGGTCAAAAATTTTGGGTTGTGTTTGACTCGAGTCACTATTTTTTGATCTGGATAAGATCTTTATATATTCTTATTGTTTACCAAAAACAATTACATGCTTAATTGTTACAAGTGCAGTGGTATATAAGTATACACAGTATCTGGGTATATACTAAAAAAAAATTTTTTACTCTGATTTCTACTATTTCAAAACCTCGATAAAGTGTGGTCCCAAGGGTGTGCACTTAGAAAGATTTGACTGTTTTAATAATTTCATATATTTAAATTGCTGATTACCTAGCAATAGGTATATGATAATTAATATATACAGGCCTAAAGATAGCAAACCAGGTACCCAATTTTAAACTGATTACTAACTGATTACTGCCTGATTTATGTCAATTTTTGTACCAAAAATTTGGTACAAAAATTAACATAAGTCAGATAGTAATCAGTTAGTAATCAGTTTAAAATAAGGTACCTGGCAAACAATATTTGATAAAAAGAAACAAAAATATGAAAATTAAGATATGCAATTAGATGTTAAATTCATTATTAAGTAGTTTTATTAATGACTTAATAGCATTTACAAATTATTATTTTATAGCTAATAATATACATAAAATAGAAATATATAAATTATTGATAAAAAATTCTAGAAAATAGCAATTAAATATAATGAAAATGTTACAAATAACGTATAAGTTTTCTAAATAATATTCTCACTTTAATAGATTAAAAATTTAAAATTTTTTAAAATTACTTTTATTATAATATTTAAGCAAAAATTATCATATCATAATTTCCTGAATTAATACACCATAATAAGGATAAAGATAAAGTAAAGTGTATATAAAGTTATCAGTAATTAGAGGTCTGTTTCGATGAATAATATATTCAAAATCCACAAATATCCGAATATAAAATTGGTTCACTAAATTGAATATTCGAATATAAAAATTTTTCACCAAATAATTCATTAAATATTCAATGAATACATACCATCTAATCAACCAATTTTATGCAAAATTGAGTGTTATATGTCATACTCAATCTTATATACTGATTGGTTAGCAATTGCTTCAATGAATATTCTAATAATTACAGATCGTAATTATTAGATTAATGTGATTTGCAATTTTGGTTCATTAAAAATTGATTTGATTTTCAGATAATTTCTTATTCTGTATTGTTAACCAAATATAAAATCAGATAAGTTATTATAGTTAATTTTAGCAGAGCTTATAAGGCATAAGATCGTTTTTAAAGAAAAAACATGAAATAAAGAATCTGAATAACAAATGTGCAGTATGTAATTACGGTTTTTTTGTATTAAAATTATCATGATTTTTATTTTCTATTCTGATAACACACAGTATATAGTTAAGAATGTGTTAATTTGTATTGAAATTGTTATAATTTCATCATGAGTTATTGTAAAAAATTATTTTGCAAAACCTACTATGTAGGTAAAGTCGAATTATTATAATTTTATCAAGAGTTATTGTTAAAAATTCTATTACAAAACTTACTTGCTATTCTAATAATACATAATAAGTAGTCAAGATTAAGTTAATATGTAGTTATAGTTTGCATTGAAATTATTATAATTTCTATGAGTTGCTATAAAATATTCTGTTACAGAATTTGCTACTCTGAACATAATACACAATAAATGGTTATGGCTGAGTAGTTTGTATAGAATTATCATGAGTTCTATTGAGTTATAATAAAAAAATTTTGATACAAAATTTCTCGCATTAGAAAATTTTTTAAACTAATAATTGGCAACATTATGGAAATCTTGATAAATATATTTTTAGTTTATGAACTCGTGATAAATCTCTTGACATCACCAAGCTGAGTCAATTTGTCTTCCAATTAAGATTTTTAAAATGTGAAGCTAAAAAATTAACAAGACATCCTCTATTTACTTATTGAAACACTAAATATATTTCAAGTTTATTTTTAATTGCATATAATTCTAAATTTGTTAAATACATAAAACATACAAGAAAAATTAATTTATACATCGATCTTATACTGTATTATAAATTTAGATTTACTTCTCTTGAAAAGTTTTGACTAGAGCAAGACAATGTTTTGAGTACAACTATGTATGATAGTGAACATGACATGTACATATATATGCACCAAACTCACCCGAAATTGTTCTTTTACCATCTAAGCATATTGCTGAAAATACTTCATCATATCTACCTTTACCAATTATTACTTCTTCATATTTGTGACTTTTGAATTAAAACTTTTCAATGAATCATTAAATATTCTCATTTCCACTTGTCTATCCTTGAATATTATTGGAGGATCACATGGTTGTTTATATTGTTGTGAGAGATATGGGGGGAGTCAATAGAATCCAGACAAATTGTTTTTAGTAAGTTTTTTTAAAACTTTAAATTAAAATATCTTAACAACTATTGAACCAAACTTGATAAAAACTTTTTTATTTTAATTCTATAACTAAATAAAATTAAAATAAAAAATTTTTTATCCAGTTTGGTTTAATAGTTGTTAAGATATTTTAATTTAAAGTCTAGAAAAAATTTACTTAAAAACAATTTGCCTGGATTCTATTGACTCCCCCATATATAATTGTTTATTTAAGATAGCAATGTTTTCTTAAAGATGTAAATCTGTCGTATTTGATCCATAGAATGGATCTTGTGATGATGATAACAAGAATTTCCATATGTCCTTCCTTGTTTAATAAAATCATTTGATCGAGCAATAACGATAATAATGAAAAGAACATACTTTCTGGAACCTACTATATTACATCAGAGGCAATACGTTATCATTGCTAGCCCCGTGTCAATATGTTTTCATACAGTTGGCTTTAACAATCATGATATTAATTTAGTTAGATGCTCAATTATACCAAAAAAGGAAAGTCTTAAAATTACATCATTATCTATATACGTACCAATAGCACTGCTCGACTTTAGCTCTTTGTTGCATAATGGCTACAGAATTCTTTAAGAAACTTTCTTTTGATTTAGTAAATATTCTTGATGATGGCGAAGATTGTAATGTAATAATTGAAGTTGATCAAATGACAAATCGTTAAATCTTTAAGGCACACTCAATTATTTTGAATTCTCGATGTTCTTATCTTCGTAAAGAGTTGACTAAGACAAATTACGATGAAATGAATGTTAAAAAAATTAGTCTACCACATATTTCTGCTAATATCTTCAAAATAATTATTAAGTAAATTATAACGATAATTATCAAATGGAGTCTTTGAATTGAAAATGACATTACGGTACATGGTCATTTTCAAGGCAAAGACCCCAAATGTTTTTAAATATAACTTTGTAACTATTAAATTTGGGGTTCTTTTTAAAATTATATAGATATATTTATGGTGGTTTAATTTTATTCAACGAAATTGATGCACCTACAACCCTCGGCATTTTATCTACTGCTAATGAATTTGATCTTGAAGAATTAGTCAGTTCCGCGCAAGTACAATTAGTAAAGAATCATGATTCGTGAATAAGTCAAAATTTTGCTAAAGTTTATAAAATATGTTTTGAAAATGATGGGTTTAAAGTTTTGCAAGAGTTTTGTAATGATATTATTGCTAGGCACCCAAGTATAGTTTTTGACTCTGAAGATTTTGGAAAACTTTCAGAGAAGGTCTTGGTCTCTCTTTTGAAACTTGACAATTTACAAATAGAAGAAGGAAGAATTTGGGATCAAGTTATTAGATGTGGAATTGCTCAAAACCCCGACTTTGACTCTAATCCTACACAATGGTCTGAAGCAAACTTCACAAGTTTGAAGACTACCCTCAAAAATTGCTTACCTCATATTTGATACTTTCAAATTTCTGGAGAAGATATTATTGAAAAGTTATATTCATACCAACGAATCATTGAACCTAATATGTGGAAAGATCTTATGACAAAATTTGTAGCTCCAAATAAGTCTATTACTTCGACTATTTTACCTTCTCGCATAATCTCAAATACTGAATTACCGTTAAGAAATAATGAAACCACAACGTGTGTTATTGATAAAAGACCTTCCTGGAAAAGATCTGAAGCATACTCCTGGGAGAGAATTGAAACACCTTGGAGAAAACTTGAAACATCTTCCTAGAAAAGATCTGAAAAATCTTCCTGGGACAGAACTGAAATTCCACCCTGTAAAAGATCTGAAACATCTTCCTGGGAAAGAACTGAAATTCCACCCTGTAAAAGATCTGAAACATCTTCCTGGGAAAGAACTGAAATTCCACTCTGTAAAAGATCTGAAACATCTTCCTGGGAAAGAACTAAAATTCCACCCTGTAAAAGATCTGAAACATCTTCCTGGGAAAGAACTGAAACTCCAGCCTGGAAAACATCTTCCTGGGAAATAACTGAAACTCGACCCTGGAAAAGAACTGAAGAGACTGATACTAGCTTTAGTAAAACTTGTGTGCGGCTATCGGACGAAGGCTGGGATTAACTAGTTTGAAATAGTGATCCTTGTAAATAATAAAAAAATTGATAAAGCTAACTTTTGGCTTAGTTTAAAATTGCTTATCAATCCTTATATTAATAATTCACTTATAAACTTTGTTCATTACTATTTTTTCTTGTAGACCAAACATATTTCATATTTTTAGAGATATAGTAATAAGATTAATGAATTTAAATCAATAAGAAGTGATACAATGTTTTAACTAGCATTAAAGTTTTTTATATAAGACTATAAATCATCGGTGTTATTGAACTTTGGATTTTTGTAATATTTCAATAAAGAAAATAGTCTCAAGTATTGTATCTGTAACTCTTTGATCTAAGATCCTGACAGTTCAAGATCCGGATCTCTTGCAGTATAGGTTATACCTTCATTTTTTCCAGTGAATGTGGCGAATAAAGGCATTATGACTTAAGTCACGATGCCTTTATTAGCCACATCCGCCGGAAAAATGAAGGTATAACCTATACTGCAAGAGATCCCAAGATCCTAACAATTTTACATTACTTATTAATTACAGATTTTTTTTATTTGTTTAATTGACAGGACAAATTGTATTGTTTTTTAATATTATAGTTCTAGATAAGCTACATATTTTTATGTCACATTGGTTATACTGATATCTGGATATAATAGCATTATATAAATCCTTTTACTTTTATAGTTCTAGAAATTAATATAAATGTCAGTATAACTCACTGTATCAACATCTTTATTTTTTTGCATACCAAAAATTTGTACAAGGTTGTTGCTCCAGATGATCATGTGATAGTCCCGATGATCACTTAGCTGAATAAATCTATGTTATAAAGTCGACTTTCCTTTGCTCTACACTTTTAGTTACTATTAATTATACCTTTATTTGCGCAGAAAATAAAAAAGAATTATACAGCATTTCTTTGATCTACTAAATTCTATTTCTAATTCTTTAACATTAAATCAATAATTACGCAACAAACCATGTATTTATATGATAAAAACAAGCTGTATTTATTTATCCGCTGAAAGTTCTTTAAATAACTTATTTGTATTTTCGTAAGGAAAATTTTCTTAGTTCTTTAAATCATCTTTAACGTTACTTTTATTAGCACAAATAAATTATACTCAATTCTTTCTATAATGAACTGACGTATTAAAAAAAGCAAGTTCATTATAGAGAGTTTCGTTATACTGTATAGTGTCGGTTGTATTAAAAAAAATAAGTTTATTGAATAAATTATTAAGATTTGGTTTATTTATTAAATAAAATACACAAATCTGAAAATATTGTTAAAAAAAAATTTCCTTTATTAATGACATATTCGCCAAAAGAATTATTTTCAAATTACAACGTATGTAAGTCTATTAATAATTAATTGGGAAATTTTGAGTTCTGGAGTAGCTATCCGAACTGACATCCGGAGGCTCATTATTTAGTCCAAATAATTTGCGCCAAATAAAAAAATCTAATGATAAAAAAAGTAAACCTATAAATTTTAATAGAAAGAAACCACCATTTTTAACGTTATTCTTATCGAATCATGTTTTTGCTATTTTCAAAAAAGCACGTTTCCCTTCATTTTTTTCATAATCTTTAGCCTCTAATATTATTGTTTTGAACTCAAAAATAGTTGTATTCTTTACTTTTATAATGGTTATAAATTTCAAAATTTACAGACCAAACCGTCAAAGTTCTTAATATAATACGTGCATAAAAAAAAATAATGGCTTTAAAAGTATGATAATAGGCCTCAAATAAACACGTACTATATAGTTTACAAAAAAAAAAAATTCTTTAAATGAAAAAAAAAGCTTTTCTCATAATTTACACTGAATGTACCTTAAAATAGAATAATACTAGTGTTCCTTAATGTTAAAGACATTTACTTTTATACTTAAATTTTATAAGCTTTATTATCCTTACATACTTCCGAAATTACTGTAATATAATAAACGAATTATAAATTTTCAAAATTTATTATTTCTGTTATGTCTAATGAAGCACATGGTGGAGGTTTTCGTTGAAGAAATTAAAATAAAAGAGACATTGTGGCTGGTTAATGCGCCATCAACCTGGTACATATTCAAGAATTGCAATATTTTTTATTTATGATGTCACCCGATAATTTCATCACAAAATTTTTTATTATAAAATTACTAGGTAAAAAACTTTACAAGTCTGTATAACCTTATATGACTTTCTATAATATTTTATGCATTCCACAAACCTTCAATGATACTATACAAAAAGAAACATAAATTTGTATAAATTTTGTTAAACGGCTTTATACTTACATAAATTTAAATCAAGTAATTACTGTACATAATCACGTAGATATATGAACCTTCGAAGCTTGTGACGTTTGTCACATGTCTTTCACTTCACATTTATATGTGATTCATTAATTTGTTATTTACCTTTCATATTTATTATGTCAGCAGTATGTATTCATGGTGACGTGCTGAATTTATTAGTAAACATTGAAATCTTCATGTTGACATTAAAAATAGCTTAATCGTTTACAATAGGGGGTTTCAGAGTTAACTTATTTTGAAAATAAGTGGGAGTTTGAAAAGTCCTATTTTTGGTTTGAAATTTCGAAATC